CCCCAAAACCCCAAAACCCCAAAACCCCAAAACCCCAAATAGATATGACAAGATTGAATAATGATTTAGTCTAAGAATCTGTTTTTGCCAACATACAGCTTTCAAATAGGACATTCTCTGCTTTGTTTAAGCTGTGAAAGGATGCAATAAGGATGGAATTTGTGTCCTCAATCTAGTTTGTAGTATATCTGTTTACTATTCTTCATTCTTATAAATTTGAGCTTCTGTTTTGAGTCTTGGTACTCTACTTCAGGCTCTGTCAGCAAATTGGTGCAGAAGCTGCAAGCATCTTTCATGTCTTCTTCTCTCATTGTGATGTGGATCTCATGTTGAAAAGTATTGTAATAACTCTTTCTCAATCTGTTAGGTAGCATGAACCTGCTTCCAAACTTGGCTTGTAAGTTGATCAACACAACACTTATCAATTGTGATACAAAGAAGTACATCACCCAAAGCTTGTCATCAGAAGGAAAGTAGAACGGCCCAAGAGGAGTGAATGGAAATAAAGTAATATAGGAGACCACAATAAGGTGAAAGAAGCTTTCATGGTAGGTAGATTGGTGTATAAAGTTGAACACAAAGCTCACTGGCAGCAGTCACATTAGCACTAGAAACGTCACTTTGTGAAACATAAGTTTGTAACCAATAAGAATTATGATGAACAAAACAAATACAATGAAAGATAACACTATTGTTCCCCAGATGTATTTAGTTTCCTCGTCATTAATATTTTGACCACTTAATAAATTTTGACAATTAAATACACAGGTGGGCAACACATAAAATATAGCAAAGAAATACAGTATGAGGCATAAATAGAATATTGCGCCAATTAAAACATTTTGAAAGTTTTCAAAATTAACTACAGCCAACGAAATGAAGTTGATTGTACAGCACCCGTAGAGGTAAAAAGGCATTCTCGTTATCAAATATACAACCTTCTCTGTGAAAGTTCCGTTTTCAATATTGTACAAATTGCACTTATGCCCAATAGGGATCAAACATATCCCAATAGCCGGCACGAAGCCTATCAGACTGAACAAAATACGGCTGAGGAAGTCAAGTTTATAGATATTTTCTCCCTTTAAGGTACTATTGAAGGAAGTCAGCATTTCAGATGCATTCAGTTTTGAATGTACCAAAGCTTCTGTGTTTACCTAGAATTAAATTAATTTTACTTATAGCTAAGAACGATAACGATAAAAGTGGTAGACAGATGTTATAAATTAATATAGAATTTGAAGTGAACGCAACTCTTGGAATAATACAAGAGTGTACAGCTCTTTGAAAGAAAATCATTAAATTAGTTATCGTTGATAGATTGATGGCTAACAATTTAAAATTTTAAGTAAAAGATCTTACCTTGCTATAGCCAAAAATAGTTGTCAAAGCAATATCTAGTCTGCATGGAATTGGATCAGTTATCTTGCTTGAGCAATGATATCAAAGAGCTTCGTCAGACTTGAGGCTCAGATCTGCCCAGCCATCTGATTTCAGACTTACTGAATTTGTTAGATTAGTCTACAGATGAGAGGATGATTACCTTTTGGATAGCAATGACCATTTTGAAAGATAAAAGGTTGTCTTTGGACACATGTTTGTTATCATTTTCACCAAAACCAATGAAGAGAGTGTTTGGAAGAGTGGTATTCTCCATCAAAGTCTATACTAAAATGTCAGATTATATCAAAATAAAATTCTATTTTTGAGATTTCTAGAGAATGAAATAAATGATAGTGGCTACATTATAAAGTAATCTCCAGCTGAGGATTTGGCATGGCATTAGTGAATAGAATGGCATCTATATAATGATCTCATATAAGTACTGCTTTTTATTTTCTTAATTAAATATACTTATTTTAGGTAAACTTAAAATTTTTATTCGGGAGACCAATACTGATAATAAACGATTATTGCCAATAAAATTTATTTCATAATGTATGAAATCTGAAAAAGAAGGTATTTTTTATCAAAAAGGTTAAACACTCGTACAATTGTATTGATTTTAGTATCGTAAAGCCTCCCAACTTCACCAGACGAAGTGGTATCAGAAATAGCCTCTGAACTTCCTAAGTGGTAGAAGCTGTCCATGTACTTAAGCAATAGCTCAGCATTCCATCTATCAAATCCTCTGAGCAAAATATTATCCGTTTCAGCTAAACTGAAGATCCTATTGTCAAATTGTCTAGGCTCTTCAAATCACAATTGCTGGTGGTTATACACATCAGGATCCCATCCTCCAACTTCTCCTTGACCATTAACAAGGACCGCAATGAGAAGGGTACTAATAACGAGAGGCTTCATTATCTGAAATAAATGTTATAATTCCTTCGATATTTGTTCGCAAGCATGGGGTTTTGGGGTTTTGGGGTTTTGGGG